CAAAACACAAAACTGTTTATTATTTCTTTATATTTGTTTTTAGTATGATCTTAAAATATTTTGCTGAAACAATGGCTAAAACTATATAAAAATTTTAAATAATAATAATAATAATAAAACGTCTTTATTTAAAGATGCGAAAAGTCTAGCCAGTGTTATTCCACTTAAACTCCAGAACAAAACAAAAATATATTTTTTTAATTACAAAACTGAAATATCTTAGGTGGGTTATTTAAAAATAACAAAATATTTCTTGTTATAACTTAAAATAGTTACATCCTAAAAACCTTATATTTAATTATACGTATACATATAACAAAAGTATAATACATATAAATTTTACAATTACATAACACTTATTACACAGTACGACAAAAGTTGATTTTCCCATGAAAAATTTCTACAGATTTTGAAAATAGACTTAAAAAAAAGGTACCCGTGTCTCGGCGTTTTTTCAGATCACGTCATTTTTTTTTAAGTGAGATCCAATAAAATGTTATCCACGGTATTCGTCACATAATAAATATAACAGATTCGATAACAGCTAGACAGTATATTTTTATGAAAAATTTATTCACTGAATAATGGACAACCACTAAGATTATTTATTTGTTTTAAAATTATTTTAATTATATCGATTAGAAATTTTTAAAGCGTTTATCCAATTAAGCCTATTTTTCTAAAATATTTTAAACAAAATGCCACTTCCGGCTTGACCGGAAGTGACATCAACTTTGTTATTTTAAATGAAACCCCCTATATATGTTTACATTTTTAAATTCTACATAAAATTTTGAGTGAAATTACTGTACCATGTCCTATACCTAGAGTAAATAGTTTTGGAGTTATTACATTTTTCCGTTAAAATATGACAAATGTGCGTCAATCAAAAATAGCCTATAACTTTCTTGCTATTACCCAAGCAACACTATATACGGATTTATACGTATTATACGTATAGTTGACTGATATATTTTCTTTGGTATAAACAATATACGTTTTTGATAAACTTTTATTATATTACACGCATTCTAAACATTTATTATTGGAATATGATCTACATATAGTTTATTATATCTTCTTTAGATACCATATACATGCAACGTATAAATTATATTTTGTTTAACCTTAAATATACGTATATTTTTTTTTAGTTTTAGACGTTTATTTATTACCTACCACAATTATCCGTTTAATTTTAGTTTATAATACATTATTTAATTTATAATATAACAAACGTAATTGTTATGTTTGCTTTAACTATATATCAACGTAGATATAAAACATTATTATTCTTATACGTCAAATTTATTTCAATCCTTTGCTAATTTCTTCATTAGCAATATAAATGTATTAAACGTATATACGTTATACTTGAAAAACATATTTTGCAATTTTTTACCCCCAAATAAAATCTTGTTATAAATGTATTAAAGTTTAAGATCAATACTTTATTAAATTTTCTTAAGTACCTAATAAAAATATTGATGTAATTATATACGGCACTATTTAAACAAAAAAAATAAAATTTAAGTATTAGAATGAAATATTTTTTAAAATAAAATATATATTATATAGGTAAAATTTATATTATATATAATATACCTTTAATAATAATAATATATTATTATTATTATTATTCATATAATAAATAAAACAATTGTTTGGAATAAATACATAAGAATTCTTATGTTAACATAATATATAATTTTGTTTAACAATAATTTATAATAATAATAATAATATTTTTTTTAAATTAAACATTAAAAAATGTCAAGTGCTACATTAATTTATAAAATTATAATTTTATAAATAAGATATTATTATTATTATTGTATTATAAACCTCGAGGTAAAGCTCTTTTATAAAAAATTAAACTTTCCACCATATTCATGGAGGGGGAATTCCTATCTCCCACTCTGCATGTTTAGATGACGCCATAACGCCAGACAGAGCTTGGCCCGTTTGTGTTTTGTGACCTAGATTTTGCAAAGTGTAAGCAACAGGTGAAAAAAAAAGGATTTGGTACCACAAGTGTGTTTTATCCTTGGTAAGTCCCTTTTATTATTTGATTTTTTAGTAAACTAGAGTTATTTTCATTAAATTTAATATCAAAGTATCCTATACACTGATTTTAAACTACATTTATACGTTTCTATTAAATGTTTAATTTATTAATTGACTTTGCATCATTTATCAATTTATCTTGTATGATAATTATATATTCTTAAAAGAAATAGGAAACTTATTTTTAGGTATATCTATTGGGCTACCCATTTTAAGGTCGTAAACCACATTTTTGTAATGGGTATAATATATACGTTGAATACACGTAAGGTTTAAATTTTGAATATGACAGATCAGCTTAATATTCCAGGGTATTTTGGTTGACACCATTCGGCGCGATTTTTAAATATACAATTAAATATCGTGCCAAATACCAAAATATCAATTAGTTGTCATTTTTTATAAGAAAATATACAACTTTTTATAGGGGTGACAAGAAATTAACAAAAACATTATGCTGTAATTTAATAATATAATATTAAATTATTAAATTAAAATTAAAATCATATTTTGTTTTTATTTTTAGGTTAATTTTAAACACAATTAAAAAATCATTGTATGTCAACATTGTATTGCATTTGTTTATAGGTTTATAGGTATGCTTGCATATTATTTTTAACAAAGATTTTCCCAATGTTTAATAAAACCCAAACCAAGCTTTTAAGCAAAAGACAATTACAACGGAATATTGATAAAAATGTATCTCGTATTGAAGCATTATTTGAAACCAATAATTGTAATCAATTATTATCTAATAAAACGGATTCTAGCAACATATTAAAAAATTTTACGTATCAAAATTCATTATTATGTTTAAGTAATGCAGAACCTGTAGAAGAGCTCGAAAAATCATTAGAAATAAATGTAGAGAGTAATACTACCATTAATGAAAATTTACTTAATAAAAAATTATTCTACCCATTGTCTTCCAATCAGGTTCCAATTTTATCCAACGGTAATAATTTAAATGAAGAAGATAACCTATTTCTACAAAATTTAAGATATTGGGCATGTTCAAATAATGTTACTCATAAGAGTTTAAATGAACTAATTTTTATAATAAAGCCGAAATATCCATTTTTAAATAAAGATGCACGCACTATTCTTAAAACTCCAAAAAAAAAAGAAATAATAGAGCTAAATAACGGCGAAATGATTTATATTGGATTAAAAAAAGGTATACAAGAAAAAATTAAAGAGGGTTTTAATGTAAAATATAATAAAAATTGTACCATTCCCTTGCAAATAAATGTTGATGGCATACCTTTATTTAATAGTGGGGCAGGAGAACTTTGGCCGATTCTTGTAAGAAGTTCCATATTTAGCAATCAAACTCCATTTCCTGTTGCCATTTTTTTTGGAAATGGAAAACCAGATCCTATTGAACAATTCTTAGATGATTTTATTAATGAATACACAAACCTTTTAAAAACTGGTATTCAGTACCGTAATCAAGTATATTCAATCAAAATTGATTTTTTTACATGTGATGCTCCTGCAAGAGCATATCTTAAACAGGTTAAAGGTCATACCAGTAAATCAGGTTGTGAAAAATGTACTATAGAAACTGTATTTGAAAACAAGCAAAGGTTTTATCCTGTGCTGCATAGACATGAATTAAGAAAAAATGAAGATTTTTTTAATGTTGAAAATAATGACTATTTTAAGCGTGAAACCCCCCTTATAAAATTAGATTTAAAACTTATCAATCAATTTGTATTAGATCCAATGCACCTTGTTTTTTTAGGTGTAATGCGTAGACTTCTAACTTTTTGGCTCGAGGGTCAACGCTCATGTAAAATTAAAAAAAGTAATGTCCAAATAATAAATAAAAAAATAGTTTTCTTAAAAAAATTTATAAGCTCAGATTTTCCAAGAAAACTTAGACCTTTATTACATGTAAAAAAATGGAAAGCAACCGAGTATAGGTTTTTTTTATTGTATTGTGGCCCGTTTCTTTTAAAAAACATTTTAAATACTGATAGGTATCAGCACTTTCTATTATTACATGTAGCAATTTTTATATTAAGTAGCGAGCACTTCGTGGAAAAATATTTTTTAGTTGCCCAAAATTCTTTAGAGAAATTTGTAAAGAAAAGTTCAGTATTTTATGATAAAAAATTTGTATCCTACAATGTTCACTCACTTATCCATCTGTGTGATGACGTTTCAACTTATGGTACCTTGGATAAATTTAGTTGTTTTCCATTTGAATCTTATTTAGGAAGATTAAAACGGGTGGTGAGGGGAAAATATATGCCGCTTAGGCAAATTTATAATCGATTAAAAGAAGCTGAAATCGACCACAATATTTTTAAAAAAACTGAAACCACTAATGAAATTGCGCCTTCCGAAATATTTAATAAGCAAGCAAATTATTTTAATTGCAATAAGATAAAATATAAAAATATGAACTTATCTGTAAAAGGACCCGATAGTGTTATTCAACATAGAAACGGGAAAGTATACAAAATCAATTCTATTATTTTTATGGATAATGTTTATAAATGCGTGTGCAGTCCTTTTAAATATATCGAAAGCTTTTACAATGTTCCTATAGAATCTTCAAAATTATTTATTTATTTTGTAAAAGGTAATAAAAAAAATGAAATAATAAATTTATCAGACATATCTTTTAAATACCTATGTTTACCTTATAAAAATGGTTTTGTTTTATTTCCAATCCTTCATTCTATATAAAATAAAAAAATATGTTTAATACACAAGGTGTTCCTAAACTTAGCGGCAATCACTTTTAAGTTTAGGGACACCTTGTAAAAAATAATTGTGTTGTTACTCAAAGTATGAAATACATTAATATTATATTCTATTTTATTTGCAAACATTTAATTAGTTTTTAACGAAAACCTTTGTTATTTATAATCTATTTAATTTAAAATTTTATATCGTGCACAGACGTACATGTATATACAATGTTCGCTGCAATTGAGTTTGAAAAAAAAGAATGTGCTGTTGTTCCCCTATGTTGGGTGATCGAGGACCAAACTATGTGCTATTGGCCGAAACAGACAGGACTACAGGTTTTTACAAAAATGGTCAAAACCATGATGCAGCCAAAAAAATCATGGAATAAATTCAAAATTGTGGAAATACTTAATATATTTAGTAAGTTTATTAAAATACCTTGTTTTTGTATAACTCTTAGTTTTTTGTAGATACGTTCGAGGAAGCCACTTTGTTTTTAACAAATAAAATAGAAGAAAGCAGTAGTGCTTCTTCAGCCAACACTTTAGTTCACGAACTTCAATTGAGGAAAATAGAAGAAAGTAGTAGTGATTCTGAATTAGATACTACCATTAAAAACGATATTTCAAAAATAAATAAAAAAAGGTTAGGCATCTATATATTATATTAAGAAAAAATATTTTTATTTTTAAACGTAACGGTAATTTTTGTGATCATTTTGACTTGTTATACACCGGCGGATTATATCACATATATTACATACATTATATGTATATGTTGCTTAAAAATTTCTTAAATTAAATATATATAAATCGTTTGATAATAAAATATTTTTTCGTAACTCTTACGGATATAATTTCATACTTCGTTCCTTAAAGTTTAACTTATAATATATATGTATATATATATATATATATATATATATATTTCTAATAAATAAATATCTGCTTTTAGAAAAAGAGATCATGACATTACTAAAGTAGCACCTTTAAATGAGCAGACTAAAATATTACAAAATTTTGTAATTAATGAATTAAGGTAAATAAGTATTTTGTGAAAACTTTTAATTGTTTTTAAACAACTTTATTTTTTTAGTGATTCGTCATACAGTGATGATGAAGAACAACTCCCTCTATTAATAAGTAGAGAAGGACTAATATTAACTGATTCTCCATCCACGTCCACTGGGACAACCAGTTTTTCATCTACCTTGACAAGCCCAGTCAATGTTGTTGGACAAAGTTCATTACCTGAAAATCAAACCGAATTGTACCTTAAAGAAATTCTTAAAATAGTTTCTCACATAAAGGAAGTTCAGGATCAAAATACGATTAGACTAGATAATATTGAACGTATCGAACGTTTAAATTCCATAGTGGAAATTAAAAAACCAGATAATTTGCCAGATTTACCTATAAGTAATAAAAAAAGTTTTAAGGAGTTGGAAGAGTTCCTTGAAAACGATGATAACAAACAGTATATGGTAATTTTTTATATTAATAAATATATAAATATATAGTAAATATTGATATTTTAGACACGACGTTTAGCAGCAATAGGGGGGTCCAACATAAGAAATACAACTATGAATATTTTAAAATTTCTTTTAACTAATCAAGTTGCAATGAAATATAACTGGTCCGGAAGGGATAAGAGATCCTTCAAAAATACAAATATGATGAAGGTTATTAATGGTAATTATTATTTAAAAAATATATAGAATGTCTAATAAATATATATTTTGTTTACAGATGCTGTTAAAATGTCTTATAATGGAAGAGACCAATTGGGAGTTTCAGAATTTAATATAGCAAATGCCATAAAAGACTGGTTAAAGTTGGCAAAACATAGATTTATCTATAAATCTCATAAAACTTTACCTAACTAGCTAGTAGAGGTATTTATTTTTTATAACTAATTATGTTTTGTATTTTATGAGTCATAATATTTGGAGCAAAATATTAGTATTAATTTTTAGGGCTAAAGCCTTGAAAATCGCCTAGTCTATTAACGATAGTTGGACCTAACTATACTTAACCTTCTATACGTAACTTTCTTATTTTGCAATTTAGAAGAAAAAAAGTCATTCTTCATAAACAGTTTTGCATTCTGTAATGGCTATCTTCAAAATTTCAAAATAATATACCAAATAGTCAAAAAACAAGAAAATTTAATATCGAGTCAAGAATAAAGTACCTGTTTTTGAAAATAAATGTAAAAATCTTAGAGGACGATCTTACATTTCAAACTTATTTCTTTTCTCAAAAACATTAAATATAATTAAAAATTACTATACAAGTTGTCCTGCTTTTGCTCTAAGATTTATATTTAAAAAAAATACTTACTAGTACTATAATAGTACCTATATTAAAATAATTAAATATATATGTGTTGTGTTTATTTATATGGAATATATTGTGTTTATTTTTGTTTTTAATTGGAAACCCCATTTTTTTTAATTCGTTTGTAAAGGGTGTTTCCGTATAAATGAAATGCTCCTCTAAATTCATTATTTAAATATATATAAAAAATGAGACATACAGCTTGTATGGTTCTCAAGAATAAAAACAAAAAATAAAATAACAATAGGATTATTTTTGTATTTTTGTAATGTCTTCAAATAAAGATTTTAGAGAAGTGTCACGTTTAAACGGAAATACCCTGGGTACTGTACCTATAGGTACTGTACCTATAGGTAATGTATAAATTTTATACTAATATAATATAATGTTTATTTTGTTTTTATTTTTATAATTTTTGTTATATTTTTAAAAAATTAATAAAAAATGTATCCGTATATACTTCGTTTTTATTATAGACCATTTTAAATTATATATATATATATAGTATACTACTTAATTTATATGTATATTAATTACATTTAAGTATAATATAAAGTATACTATAAACATTAATATAAAAAGTACATTTATTAAACGAACACATAAAGCGTAAAAAAATAATATATGAAATGCTTATAATAAACGTATATAATAAACGTGTTTTTATATGTTTAATGACACATTTAAAACAACGTTAATAACTATATTAAAATTAAACGTTTAAGGAAAACGTAAAAAACTTTAATATACTACCTAGAATTTATACGTCGAATTCTTGGACATTTTGCAGTATATCTAACTAATATTTTATACCTAGTATTCACTTACCGTGGTATATCATTTTATACGTTTAATAAACGAAAGAGTGTTGCTTGGGTAGGTTTGCAGAAATGGGGGTAGAATTTTTGGAATCTTAAAACATTGTTTAAAAGATTCCATGTCAATTTCTTAACATAGCGGGTGTTACATTTAAAAATAAAATAGTTATTAACGTTTCAAGTTAGCCCAATTTGCCCTGGGTTTTCTCGGGTAATTTGTTAAAAAATGTTAAAGAATTGACATGGATTTTTTTAAACAATGTTTTAAGATTTTAAACATTTTTCCCCCATATCCGTAAACTTAATAACAAACATCTAGAAAACTATTCACTTTAGGAATAGGACATGGTATAGTAATTTTACTCAGAATTTAATGTAGAATTTAAAAATGTAAAAATATATGGGGTGTTCTGTTACATTTTGATCAAAATATAAATAAGTTTTAATGAATTATAAAAGCATTTAAGGTAGTTGTCGTGCTGTAAGCATACCATCAGAAAATTTTAAAATTTTGTATACTTATTAAGGATATGACAATACATATATCCCGAGATAAATTCAATTAAAAATTGGATAATTAACATGGATTGTATAGGCTTTCTGTAGTTCTGTACCAGTTTCTTAGTTATACAGAAAAAACTAACTGTCAGAAGCTTTCAAAAAACTAACAGTGTTTTAATGTATTTTTGCTAAGTTTAAAAAATAATAATTAAAAATTTTTGACCGTCCAATTGTTTATAAATAACCGTTTAAAGTTCAACAATTTGTAAAAAGTATACATCACTAGTGTCAGATAAAAACAACTTGACAAGGCTGTACGCGAGTATAGATATTATTTCCGCAGTAAATTCAAACGGACTGATTCAGTCTCCAATATATCTATTGGTTGAGCATAAGCGACGTTGCCGGATTAAAACTTATGAAAATATTTGAAAGTATTACGTAAAGGTAACGTCTCCAGGGTACAGTCTTGCGAACAAATTATGAATCACTTAGCTACAAGCTCGTATACTTTTACGGTGCGTATAATCTAAAAATTTTTGACAATATTGTACCACGACAACTACCTTAAATTTCAAATCTATATTTTTTCCGTTCTCCAGAAACTTCCAAATGGACCACGAATGTAAAACACCCTGTATATTAAGTGGGGTTTTTAGGTTGTGATACCACTATAGATTCGAAAGCAATGTATAATCGTCAAACTAAAAGATCAAGATTTGATTCCAACATATATTTAATAAAAGATAAATACAAATCTGTTGTTATGTAAAATCATAAAGTATTTGAAGAAAAAAAATGATTTATAACAAAATAGAGAATTAAAAATCTGTTTACATTAAAATAATAAGAATATAATATAATAATATAATATAATAATAATTTTTCCAACAATACGAAAAACGATAAAACTAAACTAAACTAGTGGCAATAAAACTGTTTAATGCACTGAATACAAATTAAAAAAAATTGAAAAAAATAAAAATCATACAAAAAAAATATTAAAAAAATGGATGAGTGATAATACGCACAAACTCCTAAATCTTCAAGTAACTAAAGCAAAGGACTTATTAAAACAATAACACACCCTCATAATAATTATACTCTATATTATAACATCAAAAAGTTTAGTAAATCAATCAATCTTAAAAGTACAAGTTTTCTTAGTTTTTAGTTTATAAGTATTATTTAGTTTGTAATTTAAACTAGGTCTGCCCACAGGTTTAATAAACCCCTTGCAGATTTTATGTAATGTCCAATTCATAAAATGTATCCCATACATTAATTATTATTATTATTATTATTATTATTATTATTATTATTATTATTATTATTATTATTATTATTATTATTATTATTATTAATAAAATGAGAGTGTTGTGTGTTTGCTGGAACCGGCCCTGATTCGAACCAGATGAAGTAACAAAACCGTCAAAATTAGCGTGTTTTAGTAATAAAGCTCGCTTTTTTCAGTGGCAGCATGTCTATTTCTCCATCCTGCCATTAACCTTGTCCCAATGAAACGGCAGAGCACCTAGCTCGGCGGAGTGCCATTGTTGTTGCGTGCATTTGTTTTTGAATAATTGACACGGCAATTGCACACATCCCTTCTCTTGTCTCGTGTTCATCAGGCGAAACTTCTTCTTCCACGTAAAGAACAGTCGCTTCCTCGCCAGGCAACCTCATTTCTATATCTCGCGAGAATACCGTTGCCAGTTCTTCACCGGCATCGCAGATGCTTAGGATAGAAGACGCGCTCTCTCGTTTTTTGTTTTCGTCCGCGATTGTTTCTTTTGACGATTTAATCATGTCCGCGCTGCCTGTGGTGCTTTTGTTTTTTGTGCGTGGTGCTGCATTGTGATTTGTTAAATGCCCGCTTCGGATTTCGCCCAGATCGTTGATAAGACGACGTCGGCGTCAATGAATAAGTTTTGCAGCTTCGGAAAAAACGAGAAGCTGTTCGATAAGCAGAACATGCTGCTCATGCCCGACATCACGATCGGACCTCAGGTACAAATTTTGTTCCACCCTGTATATATTCAGCTTCAAAAGACCTTTGAAATGATATGCCGCATGACCCACTTTGTGTTTTTTAAAGTGACGTTTTGGCAGTAAGACGCCATTAAATTTTGAAAGTGCAATTTTTTTGTTTCACCCTGTATATAATCAGCTCCAAAAGACCTTTCCAATGATATGTCACATGACCAACTTGAGCAGTACGACGCCATTAAATTTTGTTTTTTTTAATCCATACATCTCCAAAGAGTAAGGTTAGGTTTAAAATACTAGAATACTAGAAATTTGGAAGTTAATTCAAAACTGTACCCATAAAATGACATTTTTTGTTCCAATTTCGAACATACCCTGTATAGAATTTAAAAATTAAGTAGTTTGTTGTTTTCAGCTGGCAAATACCTTTTTAGTTATGTATTACAATACATGAAATTTAATGACTTTACCAAAATTTACAAGAATTAAAAAGGGGTATTTTTACTGTAGGTATTCATATTTTATTTGAATGATACTAATAATTATAATTATTATAATAAATACAAAATACTTTTAAATAGGTAAATAGTTGTTTCCAAAAAGATATTTTTAAGATATATTCAGACTTTTATATTCTGTTTTTAAATTAATAATTGTAAAGTAATTATTTAAAGTTGTATAAGGTGTTTAGTATAAATACATAAAAATTATACCTATACGATTTTAAAATAACCCAATTTTATCCGCTTGATAAGAAAATGTTCATCAAAATTTGTTTTTTTTAATGATTTTTTCAACCTTTTTTGAAAAATTGATTTTTTCAACCATTTTTGAAAAAATAATTTTTTTAACCATTTTTGAAAAAGTGATTTTTTCAACCTTTTTTGAAAAATTGATTTTTTCAACCATTTTTGAAAAAATTATTTTTTCAACCGTTTTTGAAAAAAATTTTTTTTTAACCAATTTTGAAAAACTGATTTTTTCAACCGTTTTTGAAAAAATGTAATTTTTATCCTTTTTTCTAATGGTCCAATTCATTTTTTAAAACGTTAAGGTTTTAAAAAATGATTTGGGCTATTGGAAAATAACGATGAAAATTACATTTTTTTAAAAACGGTTGAAAAAATCATTTTTTCAATAATGTTTGAAAAAATTATTTTTTTTAAACCGGTTTAAAAAATCTCTTAAATTTTCTTCCTACACTTGCAAAAATATTTAAGAATTCCTAAGCGGTAATTTTTTTATACTTTTTCTAATAATATTTTAAATTAGAATTAAA